ATAATCAGACCGCTAGGAGGCTAATAAAAAATGTTGAAAAGAAAAAAAATGTTTTGAAAAGAAAAGTACACTGAACACTTTACATATCTTTTTTTAATTTTCACTGTCAGTTAATTTTTCTAGCATACTATTATTTATTTATTTCAGGTACTTATTTAGCGCTGTCGATTTTATGCAACGGTTTACATATATATTGTACATTCCCATCAGTCCCGAACCCTCAAGGGGTGTACAATCTAAAGTGATTACTGATACTTCAGATTATTGTAAAATGGTCTATAGTCTACCCAATCAACTATTATTCTGTTGATTGTCCTTTAATGTTGCAAACTTTTTGAACAAAAAACACATTTGCCATGTTTTGTATTTTTTTTAAAAACTTTAACCTCCCGGAAGGTATTGCCGAGTGTAGCTCGGGGTAAAGTTTCAGCACCACAAGCGGTAACCCCCGAGCTACACTCAGGAATACCTTGCAGCCAGGGGCGGACTGACAACTCATGGGACCCCGGGCAATAGGGGATCATGGGGCCCCTGTGTCCTTGCCCAAACTCAAAAAAGCCTATGAAAAAGGTACCAGGGGCATCTCATGGGGCCCCCTACTGACCCCGGGCTCTCGGGCAGTGCTCGCGTTTCCAAATGGTTTCCACCCCTGCTTGCAGCGTTGCTCCTGGATCTGTTCTTCTCTTACCTTGTCCTGCGCTCATTCCCGCGATGTCCCTCCTGCAGTGCCCCTGGCAATGTCCTCCGGCCGATGCCGGCATCTGTCTTCTGGGTTCCGTCCCCTGTGACGTCGGGACGTACTGGGGACGGAACGGTCGGGAAATTTAAAAATGTGAAAAAGTGACATTCACTAAATACACTAAAATCAAATAGTAAAATATTACTGTATCAAACCATTTCACATACATTTTGTCCCGAGTGCTTTGTCCTGTGCCCTGCCTGCATTTTTACCGTTTTTTCTGCCTGGACACTTAGAAAAGTCCATGGCGTCCAAAAAGCGTCCCTTTAGGTCAAAAGCGGTTTTAGACCGGCTAGAGAACAGCGATAGTAAATCAGAACCACTTGCAGAATTGAGTGATAATGATTTGTGGGGAAATTCGTCATCAGACACTGAAAACGATTTTGCGACTTTGCTCAGTGATGTGCAAACTTGGCGCTATATTTCAAATTTCAGTGTTTTTGGTTTGATTATATCATTTAATAAAATTTATTATTATAATATTATTTTTTATGATTATTTATTAAATTATAATTTATGATTTCATGTTTCAAATTTTAACATACCCGGGATGTTTACTAGACTCTTGTTTGGACAGATTTCAGTGAGTTATTCCTAAAAATTACAGGCCTACAATAAAAAAAATACATATTTCCATGCAAAAAAATTTACCGCTTTGAGCACAGAAATACTGACATAATCAGACCGCTAGGGAGGTTAATAAAAAATGTCAAAAAGAAAAAAAATGTTTTGAAAAGAAAGGTACACTGAGCACTTTACATATTATCTTTTTTTAATTTTCACTGTCAGTTATTTTTTCAAGCATAGTATTTATTTATTTATTTTAGGTACTTATATAGCATTGTCAATTTTATGCAGCGCTTTACATATATATTGTACATTCACATCAGTCCCAAACCCTCAAGGGGTGTACAATCTAAAGTTATTACTGATACTTCAGATTATTGTAAAATGGTCTATAGTCTACCCAATCAACTATTACTCTGTTGAGTGTACTTTAATATTGCAAACTTTTTGAACAAAAAACACATTTGCCAATTTTTGTATTTTGTAAATCGTTAATAAAAAATGTTGAAAAGAAAAAAAATGTTTTGAAAAGAAAAATACGTTGAGTACTTTACATATTATCTTTTTTTTTATTTGCACTGTCAGTTAATTTTTTCTAGCATATTATTACTGATACTTCAGATTATTGTAAAATGGTCTATAGTCTACTCAATCAACTATTACTCTGTTGAGTGTACTTTAAATATTGAAAACTTTTTGAACAAAAAACACATTTGCCATATTTTGTATTTTGTAAAACTTTAATAAAAAATGTTGAAAAGTAAAAAAAATTTTGAAAAGAAAGGTACATTGAGTACTTTACATATTATCTTTTTTTTTAATTTGCACTGTCAGTTAATTTTTCAGGACAAGATTTTGGGGATAAACCACTACAATCTTGTCTTGAAGAATTAATTGATAGTAAAAATAGAAAAATAGAAAGTGCAGTACTTAACGGCACTCAACTGGGTTTGTTCAAGTGCTATAATCACCTTACACATGAAATTTAATTTCTATACGTTATCATGACTGAGAAGGAGACAGAAAATGTCAAAGCTGAGACTAAGAAACAAAGAAAAGAGATTTCCTGTGTGAGAGGTCAGTAAGTGGTCAATAAGTGGTCAGTAAGTGGTCTACGGTAATTTCATGTTGGGTTAAAATCTGCAAACTTCAAAAAACAAATTCTGTAGTCTGTAATAATTATTATATCCCTTGAATGCTTCAGGGCATTGAGCGGAGATATGCAGCTTGTGGATCAGGTTTATAAATTAAGGAATAGAATTGATTTTTGGGGCCTTCAATTTCACATTGTTTTATCTCTGCTGAAATAATTTACATACCTGAACTTTAGATACATTTGAGCTCATCTGGATTGAAGGATTTTAAAGACATACCATAGTGCTATTAAAAATATTGGGTCAATGACCTAATCTTTCTTTGCCTTTGGTGGGTTTCTGTTTTTATCTATTTCATGATATTTTTCGCGCAGTTGTATTGTTAGCCATTGATTCATGTAAAAAAGTTTGTTTAATGTCCTTGATTGTTTAATTTATTGAAGATGCAGGCTTTCAAGATGCCTTAGATCCCTTCTTCAGCTTGCATTTATAATAGATTAAGTCAACCAGTTAGGGTTATCACTTAAACTCCAAACTTTCTGCATAAAATATTTTTAAAATTCTATCTTAAGATCCTGAATGAGAAATAGCAAGTGGGGCTTTCATGCAGTTCAGGTAGAAGATCCCTCTCTTGCACATGTATTTAGTAAAATTGGTAACTAGTATTTAAAGACTACAGTGCAAGTCACTCTGACTATATACAAAATGTAAAACATTCATTTTGATTGCATTTTCAATATAATTTCTTATGTCATTGACTTTCTGTAGTTATAGAAAGTTTTTGTGATTTTTTTTTTAATTGTTTTTTTCCCCTTTCAATACATTTCACTGTCAAAATCATTTACTGATAAAGGGTCAGAAATTGAAATATACATCAGAATTCGTTAGCCATTATTTTCAACAGGAAAAGGGTGGTTGTAAAATGTCAAAAACACTATGAAAAAACGAAAGTAACTTGTGAAAATAGTGTTACAAACACATTTCGAAGGATTCCTAGAGCAGATCAGGATTTAAAAACTGTTTTAAAAAGCTGAAAAATTCTAGCTTTAAAAAAAGAAATTAAAATGGCAAAATCAACTGAAAAATATTTATAAATAACTAAACACGTCTTTTAAGGGACGCGGTAGAGGGATCATTTAACCGCTTTTGCGCCGCCAAATAGTAGATATACTGCTACAGGGTGGCAGGGGTGTGCAAAATCACACACACACATATATCTATATCTATCTATCTATCTATCTATCTATCTATCTATCTATATATATATATATATATATATATATATATAAAAAAGATATATATCTATATCTATACATATATATATATATATATATATATATATATATATATGTGTGTGTGATTTTGCATTTCTGCTATTCACTGTCAGTGATTTTTATTAGCACTGATCACTGTATTGGTTTTACTGGGGATGTAAAAAAAAAAAAACAGCATTTGTAAATTTTTTTAAATTTTAAAACCCTAGTATATATACCGTCACACTATAACGTTCACGTAAACCAATTAATTTACACATATTGGGATTTTTTTTCAGCAAAGACATGTAACAGAATACATTTTGGCCTAAATTTAAGACAAAATTAGATTTTTTAACATTTTTTTACTGGACATGTTTAATAGCAAAAAGTCAAAAATATTGCTTTTTTTCTTAAAGTCTTCGGCCTTTTTTGCGCTGCTATCTGACAATAATCTGTGAATGACATTTGTACACCCTCCAGCAGCCTGCACTGCTGTGCCTGTGCATCACCTGCTCTCTATCCTCGATCACTGGCTGCCACATGTGTCACTTTTGCCGGAGGGTGACACTGCCCCCCTGAAAAATGCCGCCCTAGGCAAATGTCTTGTTTGCCTTGTAAATATGCTCTTATTTGATGTGCTGAAAGTGAGGAAATGTCATTAGCATAAACCTGCCTTGCCTTGTGTAATTGCTGCTGGAAATATATTATTGCTGTAGGATAAAGACGCAGAGCGGCATGGAGTGGGAAGCCCTGGCACTGCTCTATGTCTGGATGCTGCGGGCAATTATTTAAAATGCTTCTACTGAATTTATGATTGCATTGAAAAAATATTCTAGACATTGACAAATTGTAGGTATATATTTAATCTAGGTCATCAGGCGATGCCCATCCATATTCAGTACTCTTAGGTAAATGCTGCAGTAACTTTTTACTTTTAGTTGTACTCCAAGTGGAGATTCGAGAATATTCAGCCAAAGTGATCAGGAATGTTTATGGAGAGATATTTTATTTATATTTATGGTTAGACTTAAATGGAACTTTTCAGTATTTTATTTAGCTATAAAGGTAAAAGGGACCAAGATGATGTCATTAACGATGTTGGGTTGTGTTCACGCTTTTGAAAATTTGGCTTTGACTTTGTATAATTTGTACTCATAAACTGTTTATACATGGGGGCAGCCATTCTCATTTCATATGCAGGCTCTTCTTCCTGCTTTGCAGTGCTGCCCAATGGTTGTGTTTACTGCTTTCATTTACAATGCAAGTTTATGAGTTGGCCAACCATTAAAGCGGACCTTCACCATTGAAGTCTCTCCTCCACCGTATTTAACTTGTTGCCGACCGCAGATAGCCGAATGACGGCTGCACTGCGGCCGGCCAGTTCTGAGTGGACGTCATATGATGTCCCCCCAGAACGCGCTCTCCTGCGCGCCCCAGGGGGCGTGCACCCGGCGATCTCCGTGATCGCTGTGTCCTACGGACACAGCTGATCACGTGATGTGGTAAAAGGCCAATCACAGCGGCCTTTTACCACCTGATCAGCGGTGTCCAATGACACGCTGATCAGAGGGAAATGCAAGTGCCGGTTCTCGGCTGCATTTTCCTCACGCTGTCAGATCGTGAGGAAAGTACTGCCGAGAACCGGCAGTTGTCAGAGCGGTGATCGGCACCGATCATCAGGGCACTGATGATCAGTGCCCTGATGATTGGTGCCCAGCAGTGCCACCCGCAAGTTCCGCCCACCTGTGCCCTGCAGTGCGCCCACTAGCTCCGCCCACCTGTGCCCAGCAGTGCACCCACCTGTGCCCAGCAGTGCACCCACCTGTGCCACTCTGCAATTTCACACACCTGTGTCCAGAAGTGCCACCTACCTGTGCCCAGCAGTGCCACCCACCTGTGCCCACCCACCTGTGCCCACCAGTGCCACCCACCTGTGCCCACCCACCAGTGCTGCCCACCAGTGCCACCCACCAGTGCAGCCCAGCAGTGCTGCCAGTCAGTGCCACCAGTCAGTGCCCAGCGGTTGTGCCAGTCAGTGCCGCCAGTCAGTGCCCAGCAGTGATGCCAGTCAGTGCCGTCTATCAGTATCCATCATTAGTGTCACCTATCAGTGCCGCCTATCAGTGCTGCATATTAGTGCCGCCTATCCGTGACACCTCATTAGTGCTGTCTATCAGTGCCGGCTATCCGTGCCACCTCATTAGTACTGCCTATCAGTGCCCTTTAGTGCTGCCTATCAGTGCCCATCAGTGCCGCCTATCAGTGCCTATCAGTGCTGCCTCATCAACGCACATCAGTGAAGGAAAAATTTTGAAAAATTTTATAATAGAAACAAAGAAACTTTTTTTTTTTTTTTCAAATTTTTGGCAATTTTTTATTTATAGCGCAAAAAGTAAAGTGCCCAGTGGCGATTAAATACCACCAAAAGAAAGCTCTATTTGTGAGAAAAAAATGATCAAAATTTCATATGGGTACAATGTTGCATGACCGCGCAATTGTCAATCAAAGTGCGGCAGCGCTGAAAGCTGAAAATTGGCCTGGTAAATAAGGGGTATAAGTGCCTGGTAGGCAAGTGGTTAAAATTGGAAAAACACTTTTTTTTTTTGCTTTTTTCCCTTTTTTCTTTATAAAATATTTTTTTGTCTTCCCTGCTCCCCAGCTTAACAGTTGTTAAGAAGCTGAAGCTGAACTAAAGGTCATCTGTGCACCACAAACTGAAGACGCTATTTAATTCAAGTGCTACTAAACCCACAACAGTAAAATCAGTCTGTATATGCAGTAAAGCATGCTTGTTACACTCACTGTGGAACCTAAGGGGTTAATCACCCGTATTGTGTAAAAAGGCTGTTTGATCCTGTCTTCTCTGATCCTCCCAATCTTCCACAGTCCCCAATCCATTCCCTGATAGAACAAAGCCTTGGGGGCAAGCTGCATGTGTTCAGTTTGGTGTTAATTGCTAGAGAGTTTTTGTTTTCATGGGAGAGTGCATGTGATCAGCACAGGGCCAATCAGCATTGTTCAGACAGAGGGTCAGGGGTCCTGCAGTCTCATAGGACAATCAGGGGAGAATGAAAACTTCTCCTACAAGCTCCTCCTATAACCTGTGCTCTTCTGGAAACAGATAGAAGTCACAAGACTGCTATATACTGCTGATGAGAAAAGGTATTTAGGAGTTTATATTTACCAAAATAATGGCATTTCCATGTTCTGTGTACTGTGGGAGACCAGATATAGTGAATGCAGAATTATGGGTTTAGTAACACTTTCATTTTTAATATTTAAAGTAAAATCTCCCATCCATCCATGTCTCCATACTCTATTTTGTTGAGAAGTCTATTTGAAACACACCTCCCTAGCATTTCTAGCCAAGGCCATCTTGAGTAAGTGCAGATGATTAATCTAGCATTTACTTTCTGTAATCTATCTACCTTTAGCTCAGACATGCATACAGGAGTGTGAGCTTAGCTGAGAGAGCCCTTCTTTCCCCCTCCAGATGAAAAAAAAATGCCCATGAAGAATCATAGGATGTATGACATCATCTTTGCCTAGGCCAGAAACAAGGAAGCAACTAAAGAAATGTAAAAAAAAAAAATTGAAACAAGTAAACATAATATACCTTCCTATCTATTTACTAATGCTAGCAGCATAAGGACTAGAATAGTTAATTTTCATTGAGAATATTTAGTTCCACTTTAAAGGATAAGTTCACTTTTAAAAAAAAAAAATCATAAATGTACATTTTTTTGCAGGTAACAAAATGTGCATTTACTATTTTTTTGGGGGGGGAGCCTGGAGAGCATTGCCCCAGCGATCAGCAGATCACTGGTGCCATGCAGGACTCCTGCAAACCTGTCAGTGTATCTCTGTACCGGTACATCCTGTACAGGCAAGCAGATACAGTCTGACAGGAAGAATCAATGAACTACCACAGTGCTACACAGCGCTGTGGTAGTTCATTGAGAACTACAAGCCGACAGCCACAAAGTCTATTGGGACTTGTAGTTCATTCATTCACAGAACTTTGTGAATGAATGACGTGGCTGTGTGGGCGGAGCTCCACAGAGCCGTGCTCTTTTTAAAAAGTGACAGCTAGGAAACTTCTCCCTGTACTGCTGTTACAGGGAGTGCGGGGATTGGAGAGCGAGTGCAGGATTGGGAACATGTTGCAACCATCATCCACAACATCCAACAGTTTTGCACCCCTCATCCATAGCTCACCTCTGCGCCCCTTGTCAACACCTCAACTCTGCACCCCATGTTCACTGCTCTTCTTCCATATTTTTGTCCACTGTTGACCTCTCCATTCCTAATCTATGGCTCAGCTTTTTACAGCTCCCCTGCACCCCTCTTCTTTAGATCAACTATGCACCCCTCATCCACTGCTCACCTCTGTTCCTCCGTATCATTGCACCGCTCTGCCAAACATCAACTCTGCACAACTTCATTATTACACCCCTCTGCTACAGCTCACCTCTGCCCATCCTGCACCACTGCAGATTCCTTCTGAGCAACCTGCTCCGTTGCACCCCTCTGCCACAAATTACTCTGCTCAGCCGCTTCTGTGTTGCCACCCTTGATGCTCAGCCAAGCCTTGAGAGACCTGGAAGAACGAGGAGTACAGAGGACTGTTGACTGCATGGAGTGTGCTCAACTTGGAGCAATATGTTTATCTTGAGCCTGGGATTAGGAATCCATCCAACATCAGTCCACCCAGAGTCTTGCGACCACTTATCTGGGGGCTGTCATCGTTGGTCTTCTGGATCCATATTCCATACTAGGAGACCAGAAATCCTTCATCTATGAGAGCTTGCTGTTGATTGTCAACATTTTATGTTCACAAAGCTCCTTTTGGCCACCTTAACCGGGGTCAATAATTTCTGGTGAGTGAGAAATTCACTTATTGTTTTCACGTGGTGCAAAAGAAAATCCTTTACCCATGGGACTACATTCCTATGGGACTGTCACTCAATATATGTCTATTATCTATATTCTGTTTGGGAGTACAGTATTAGTTATTTTATGTCACTGATAGAAAATTCTATTTACGCCATATAATATATTTGATTTAATCAAGTAGCGCCTACCTATTCATGTATTTACTAAGTCTTGGCTACAGCCAATGGAAGCAGCTATACTTGTGTTCCCCAACAGCTAACATAGGCACTAATGTATAACCTGAAACAAACGTGTCTCACCTCTGCACTCCTCATTCACAGCTCACCTCTACACTCCCTACATGCCTCATCCCCAGCTCATCTCAGCACTCCTCAACCACTATTCAATTCAATTTTGCACCATTTTTCCAATGCTCACCTCAGAACCCCTTGTACACCACTCACCTCTGCATCCTTCATCCACAAATCAACTTTGCACCCTTGAACTCCTTGTCCATAAGTCATCTTTGCACACCCCATCCACTGCTCAACTCTGCACACCTTGTCCACTGTTCCCCTTTACACCCTTTATCCACAGCTTAACTTTGCATCCCCTGCACCCCACCTTCATAGCTCAACTCTGCACCGCTCGTCTGCTGTTCATGTCCACACTCTTTGTCCACCCCTCACCTCTGAATCCTTCATCCATACCTCAGCTTTGTACCACCTGCACTCATCTTCCACAAATCCCCTCTGCATGCCCTCCACCACTGCACTCTTCTGCCACTGATCACCTCTGCTCCACTGTACCCCTCTGCCACAGATCACCTCTTCCCCACCATCTGCCCCACCGTACCGCTCTGCCACAGATCACCTCTGCCCCCCTGTATCCTCTGCCACAGATCACCTCTGCCCCACTGTACCACTCTGCCACAGATCACCTCTGCCCCACCGTACCCCTCTCCATAGATCACCTTTGCCCCACCGTACCCCTCTGCCCCACCATGCCCCTCTGCCACAGATCACCTCTGCCCCACCGTACCCCTCTGCCTCAGATCACCTCTACCCCACCGTACCTCTCTGCCACAGATCACCTCTGCCCCACAGTACCCCTCTGCCACAGATCACCTCTGCTTCACCATACCCCTCTGCCACAGATCACCTCTGCCCCACAGTACCCCTCTGCCACAGATCACCTCTGCCCCACCGTACCCCTCTGCCACAGATCACCTTTGTTCCACCGTACCCCTCTGGCACAGATCACCTCTGCTCCACCATACCCCTCTGCCACAGATCTCCTGTGCCCCACCGTACCCCTCTACCACAGATTAACTCTGCCCCACCGTACCCCTCTGCCACAGATTAACTCTGCCCCACCGTACCCCTCTGCCACAGATCTCCTGTGCCCCACCGTACCCCTCTACCACAGATTAACTCTGCCCCACCGTACCCCTCTGCCACAGATCACCTCTGCTCCACCGTACCCCTCTGCCACAGATCACCTGCTCCACCATACCCCTCTGCCACAGATCACCTCTTCCCCACCGTACCCCTCTGCCACAGATCACCTCTGCCCCACCATACCCCTCTGCCACCACACCTCTGCCCCACCGTACCCCTCTGCCACAGATCACCTCTGCCCCACCGTACCCCTCTGCCACAGATCACCTCTGCTCCACCGTACCCCTCTGCCACAGATCTCCTCTGCCCCACTGTACCCCTCTACCACAGATCACCTCTGCCCCACCGTACCCCTCTGCCACAGATCACCTCTGCCCCACCATACCCCTCTATCACAGATCTCCTCTGCCCCCCACCGTACCCCTCTACCACAGATCACCTCTGCCCCACCGTACCCCTCTGCCATAGATATCCTCTGCCCCACCGTACCCCTCTGCCACAGATCACCTCTGCCCCACCGTACCCCTCTGCCACCGATCACCTTGGCACCATCTGCACTATTGCATCCTTCTGTGACTAATCACATCTGCACCATTGCACCCCTCTGTCACAGATCACTCACGTCATCTG